ACTTGTATTTGACCATGGAGATTCAAGATCAGTATCATAATCAGTAGATATCATATTTGCACGAGAAAAATCTAAATCAAGTGTACTTGTTCGTTCTTGTAGTGGTCCATTTACAGCCTAAATTAATTATTCATAATTCCACAGATTAACAAATGATGAAATTGCTCTTCTCAAAATATCTGATTTTCATAAAAAAAAAATTATCAAAAATCGCTCTAAGAACGTGTCTCTTGCTAACAAGAAATACGAATATTTCTTTTTCAGTAATGAAAGTATCGACTCGAAAGACGGAGATATTTAAAATTTTCTATATCTGTTGAGTTTTTGGTCTCCCTACACTTAGCGAAATTTAGCTATACAAAGAATCACGTTCTATAAAACATTATTTTAAAATCTGAAGTTTACGGTTAAGACATTTGAAGCACATTGTATTAGTTGATTTGCTGCTACTTGAGCATCTTCATATGGAATTTGTGTTGCCATTGAAGATAAAGCAAGAGATAATTGATAACATCTATTTGATGCAATTGACTAGAATTATACAAAATTATATAAATTTAAAAAATGATTTCATTTATAGTACTAGAGCAGCTCTTGTTAATTGATTTGTTGATTGAGTTATTTGGGCTAATGTTGATGATTGTAATTTGATACTATTTGATGTCGTAATAAGAAGATTAGTTGTAAATGTCATTAAATAATCTCGAAGATTTGCTTGAGCATTTAATATTTTATTATATTCAGTCAAAGCCGAGTCATTGAAAGATGTTGAATTCTATATAAAAATTAAACAAAATCTATGCAATTCAATTCAATTTAATTACTCCTTGTAAACTTGAACTTCCTAATGATGATACTAAAATAGTTGCAGCTGGTATTCCACCTACGCAAAAGATTATTTGGATTATCTATAGTAAACCAAATGTTAATAATTACTTGAAATAGCTTGATCTATATTTTCAGTATTCATTTGATTGAATTGTTGAGAAATTGCAGTAATAATTTGTCCAACAATATTTTGGTTTCCACCTGAAAGTAATTGAACAATCAGATTATTTGTTAATACACTTGATGAACTTTGTAGACTTGTTAATAAATCATTGGTTGTTATATAATCCACGATAACATGTACAGAAGACATATTTACTTCTACAACACAATCAAGAATATCACGAATAGAAATAACAATATTGAGTAATGATGTTTCATTGTCTCCACTTGGTAATCGAACTTGAAAATAAGATACTGATGAATATGCAATCATTAATTTTTGCGATGCATCTGTCGTCCATGCTTAAATTAGAAGAGATTAAAATGTAAAAGATGAAATAACTTCTATAATATGAATTAAATCCTGGATCTACAAAAATCTGTATGTTGTTCAATATTTCGGAATAGAATGAGTGAAAAATACATCATTATTCTTTAATATGATTACAAAGTTAAAACTAGAAGGTCTATCTCTATCACGATCGATCTGTGAAGGTGTAACGATCATTTGCGAGTCATAAATGATATACGTGTGAGATAAGTAAAAGACATTCACATCCTTAGATACTAATCAAGTATCTGAAATTTTCCTCTTAGTATCATCATTAACGTTAACAGAAGGAAGATCTATATCAACACTACACGAACTATTTTGTAGTTTGTGTAGTGTTAAAAAAGTAACTATACCATATAATGAATAATCTTTAATTCCATCTTCATCATACCAATTTGGACACGTAATAGTGAATAGAGTAGTTGTTGTACCATTCATCGGATTAATTGAACATGAACCATTATAAGGAGGTTGATTAATAATAAAATTTAATGCACTTGTACTTGTTACAGATAGAAATGTATAAACAACTTCAAATCGCCAAAGATTTATCTGAGGATTATTGAGAAATAATTGATTTGCAGCTGTAAAATTACTTGTATTTTTACCTATAAAAAAGCAAATTAATATAAATATTTCTTAAATCATAAGAAGATTTCTACCAAAAAACCAAATATTTTCATATAGAATCGTGTTATTAAATAAAGTCCATTCTGTATAGTTTGAAGATGAATTATCAGATCCTTGATAAATATTCCATTTTATATTTTGAAGATTTGTACAAGTTCCAACACAAAGAGCAAATAGAGCAACTTGTGTGGTTGGATTAACAAATTGATATTCAAGATTTGGAACACATAATATTGATATAACACAACTAAATTCAAAAGATTTCTTTTTAAGATTTAAGTAGATAAAAAAATTTATTTACCCAATAACAATTAATTGTGGATGAGTATCGTCAACTGTAACAAGTACATAACCTGTAGCTTGAATAGATGAATTTTTACGATTTTCCATGTAAACCATAAATTGATACATTTCATTTGATTGAAGTGAACCACCGACAACTGTTAGAGATGAATTAGGTGATGCAGTTAAATTTCCGAATATGAGTCCTGTTTAATTACAAGTTTCTTTAATTTCGATATATTAAACTAGCAAGAATTAACATTACCTGATTGATTTGATAAACATGATGGATTATAAGGATCAGTCTTGGAATTTTCAATTGTTAATAATATACCTTGAAAATTTGGAAAATTGTATGGACCATAAATTCGACAATAATATTCATATTTCCATTTCTATATTAAACAAAAACAGATTTATTAAAATATCTGTAAAATGATAAGAATTAATCAAATAGAATATCTATTGATCTCGCTAAGAATCTGACCACTATTCTTCATACTTTTAAAACAATTTCTATTGTTTTCGATCTTTTGGATCATTGGGTATATCCATATGATCACCTTGTCAGATTTGATTTCTACTACTCATGGTTTTACTCATATTATTATATTTAAGTAAAACTAATGTATTATAGTCTCATTCAATATGATCTATTTTATAATCAATGAAGGATAAATATTACTTACACTCGCATCAAATGAATCTTGATCAGGATCAACAGAATATGCTCCAGGATCAAGTTGAAGATCTTGTTGACTACCACGTGT